GGGGGGGGGGGGGGGGGGGGGAATGTAACGTCTGCTTGAAACATATGCCTGATACGAGTGCTGTTCAAGCTAGTAGCCGCCCCCACCGCTCGGCAGCTCATGATCCAACACAGCAGTGGCTGCCTGAACACAGGCGGCTGCCAGCTATCATCCTGTCCTCGTAGTTGTGTACTTTACGCTGTGGTGATGATCGCAACCGAAAAGAAACAAAACGCAACTAAAGGAGTACTACCGATTCGGTTCAAAGCACTTAATATAACGATCAAGTCCGAAGCCTCGCAATCCGCTCATCGAACCCAGGTATCTTCGTCGAAGCCACGATGAACGGGCTCAAAGATCAAGAAACCCACCGCAAGTATGCACAAGCGTATGAGTGGCTGGGACTGCATAGGAAAGGAGTTGGTGTTGGGGATGTAGCTGCTCAAGTTTGCCACCAGGGCTCCGGGTTACCGTGCTCTTGGAGCCTGTGCTCTTGGAAAGAGGGATATGAGGAGATGCTTTGTTGCCGGCAGCTTGAGTCCTGCAAGCAGGCAATCGAAAAGAGTCAGCCTTTAAGCTGTTGTTGAAGAAGCGTGCCTCAGGATGAAAGTGCTTCATTTGGGGACATGGAGTCTACAGAAAAGTCGCTGAAGCGGAGCGCCAGAACCGCAAGCCCATCTAAAGCCTGACCCTGGAATGACTTGACATGCACTGAACGTCCGTACAGTCAGAATTGCACACACCCGTGTGTTCTGTGAATACATGCATGCACACACACACACATCACACGGGTGTTTGTAGTTTTATGCTTGTAATACATGTCAAGTATATCTGCATGAATGCATGTATGCATGCATGGATGCATGGTTGTACGGTGGTATGTGTGTATATATGTATGTAAGTATGGATGTAGATATGTAGGTATGTATGTGTAAATGTAGATATGTATAATGTCCGTATGTATGCGTGTATGGTTTGGTATGTACGTATGTATGTATGTATGTATGTATGTATGTATGTATGTATGCAGGCATGTATGTATGTACATATGTGTGTATTCATGCATGTACACAGGTACGTGTGTCCACATGTTGGCATGGTTGAAAGTATGCATTTTCGCGTGTTCGCATGTATGTATGCATGCCTGTACGTATTAGTGCATCTAGGTAGGTAGGTAGTAGGGCATATATCCATATGAGCCTGTATATCATAATGACAACACTTATGGTGATGCGGATGATCAGTCGTGGTTGTCATATTGAGGATTGACCTTTTGTGCTCCTCACAGCTGTTATATACGAGTATCCACTTCTATGGAGGTCCAACTACATGACGGAGCAGCTGGCAAAGTTGGTCTTATGTGTCTCAGACAAGGCTCAGGGTCAAGTTTGTTCGGTCTTGGTGTGCTGAGGGATAAAATAGGGATCGAGTCAAAGGCCATATGGTTGGGCTATTTTACAGAACCCTGCGGAGCTACGACCATGGCTAGGCCATTCGCACCTATGGTCTGGGGTTTGGATTTTGATACATGGCCGATGCACCGATACCGGACATCAACGATAAGTATATCCAACAGCCTCATCGATGCCATCAGCAGGCAATGAATCTCCACGTCCTAGAAATGGCAATGGCCGTTTGTAGTCACAACCAGCATTGTCGGGTCAGTGCAGCAATTGCTTACAGACAAATCTAAATATCGCTTTGCTTTGCACGGCGCACGAGCGGTAACACATGCAGGGTGGCTATGAGTTATGACCACAGAACACCTGCGAGAAGAGAAGGAGAGAGAGAGAGAGAGAGTTTATGTGCACAGCCTATTCGGTGGACAACTTCACTCTTGGCCCGCACTCCTGGTTGAGAACAGCAGAGGGGAGCCCCCCTTGGCGACGGCAGTGAACCCTGTGACGCAGCCTGCAGGCTGCCTTTGACAACCTGCAAATCTTCTGACGGTTTCCGCTACCAAGATCTCCTATGCAGCAAGTCATGGCATCCCGTAGATGCCGGCGAATGCACGCCGCCTTTGACGGTTCGGATCCGGATCGAAATAGCAAGCTTGCTCTAAGGGAAACCCTGTTCTAAAGCCGACGATGCTTGCATGTCAACACATGGAGTTGTTGCTTTAAGTTTGTATTTTTGGTGTGGGCTGGATCGGCTTACAGGGGGCCCAGCCCCCAGAATTTCCTGTCGAATTGCCGAGCAAACCACCAAGGGAGTGCACTCAGACTTTCGCCGGAGCCCTTTGTCCAAGCCAAGCCGTGGCGAGTATTCTTTCAGTGCACCGTTGTGTTTTCTGAGTTGGTTCTTCGTTGCTGCCGTTGTCAAAGCGAAGTAAATGATGCAGGATCTTTTTGTGATTAAAACTCCTTTGCCTTCCGTGGCGCTTCATAGGATGCTAGTTCACCCAGGTTCGACCCCGCTGCCTCGGCAAACGACACCGTCACAGCCCCGAGTAACAGCGTGACTGCGGCATACTTTCTACCTGTATGGTAGTCTTACTTTCGCTCGTTGACAAGCCCAGTCCACCCTGCGACAATTCATGCTGACAAGGGCGATGTTTTTTTGCCGTCTCCTTCTTTGACACTTTTGAATGCAGTTGCCGTCGGTTGCATAGTCGCATCCCCGTAGAGCTAATCCGCAGTGGCAGGGGTAGCCCCCTTCGGCAGACCAATCACTGAAGTTGCACCGGTACCTCGGCTTGTTTGACATGTTGTTGCATGGTAGCTCCTTGTGACTAGCTGCATGAAGGATAACATGCACGTTTAGCCTTGCAGAACCCCCAGAACCGAGCCCGGGGAAAAAAATCCGTGGAGAAAGGCGGCTGGATGTTGTTCTCGATAGCATATGCATACTTTTCAGTGTAAGTCTAAGCCTTGGTTGGGAGTGCACAAAATTCTTCCCACCCGCAACTGTCCGGGGTGCTGACGCGTGCGGTGGAGGGCCATAACCCTCCACCACAGCGCTGGCGAAAAAAGAGAGAGAGAGAGAGACAGAGTTGGAAGGCGAACTGTTATGGGAAGATCTGGTTCCCAGGCGTAAGCGAAACTGCCAAGCCGCTTTTGATGTAACGCCAGAACGCAGGGCTCCTGCAAGAAGCCAGGGCCCAGGCGATGTCGCCCGAACAAAGCTACCTGCTACTGTACAAGAACATACAACTTGAAACCCCTTGCGGGAGATGCCCCGAGCCCTCAACCTTACGCTTTAGAGTTCCCGAAGCGGCCCCTATAATCCCTAGCAGCCGTCGCCGGTAGCACTGGATGCAATCAAGCTGAGCCGAGGCATGTCAAGGTGTTGAATCAGGCTCAGAAACCGCAAACATGGACGGCCCTTGACACCTGCAAGCAGCGCTATAGACAGCATGTTACGAGACGTCCACTTTTAATTCTCAGAGCAAGGGCCCGTCCCTTGTAATATGCTGTTAACAGCTTACTGTAGATATTTACGCCCAGAAGAACTCGCAACAGACTATAAATAAATATAGTCGCTTGCAGGTGCGCAAGTCGCGGCAAGGAGGGGAGACCTTCGGTGGTATGCTGAGGACGACCTTGTTGGTCCCAGAGAACCCAATACGCCTGAATTAAGGAATATACCTTAAATCATAGGGGCCCTAATATTATGATTCCTTAATTAAGGGGTATTGGGTTCTCTGGGGTTTTGTTGCAGGGGGCTTGCATTGGAACCGGAGTCGCTGCTGTCGTGTGCATGGTGGTGCTGTGCTTGAGCTGTAGCTTCCACTCGAGACTCCCGGCCGTTGTTGCCAAGAGGTTGGGAAGTCGGAGGCGTCCTGTTGACAAGGGATAATTACACACAAAACTTGCAGACGTGCAGTCCTTTCTTAAAAGCCCTACTCCAACCCGAATCGCCCCTAATCCCTAACCTGCCGGAAACAAACCCCTGAACCCTAACACTAAGAAGGCTTGCCCCTTGTGCGAGTGCGGGCTTGGAAACCCTGCATCCCCTGTCGAACGAACCCCTAAACACGCCGTCACAGCCTCGCTTGACCTCGTCGACTGTGAGTGCTCGAACCCTTACATGAGCCCTATATACCCCGAAGTCTAAAGCCCCAAAACCCTAAATCCTACTAAGTAGCAGGCAAAAAAGCCCTAAACCCGCTGCTAGTAGACCCCAATGAGGCCGTGAAACCTCGGCCAGGAGAAG